CTGGACAATCACCTCCTCCTCAGTACTAGTCATCCTTATCATGTTGGGCTTGCAATCGCGTCGTGAAGAGGTTCCAGTAAGGCGCGTGCCTAGGGTGCTTTGAGAGACCTGGTATATTGCTGCAGCGCGTCGCACGCTTAGTGTCGCGTCTTGCTGGATAGCCTGGAGGGCAAGCTGTATATGTGTTTCATTTGAAGGCTTTTTTACGTTGTTGCGTTGAGGCATTACAGGGAGAGTGAAGTTCGGTGTGGTCTTGGCAAAAGTGGCCAGCTCGCTTGGGTGGCCAGCTCGCTTGTGGAGTACGTTATGCTTTTTTACGTTTTGGCTTAACGTAGATTATCACCGAGCCGGCCATATCACCAAACTGGCCATTTTCTCTTGGCACAACTAACACAAGTTACTGCAACTACAACTACTTGCTATTAAACAGTGACCTAGCATACTGTGTGCTTACATTAGATTTAGAAGATGTTTCTACACCCTCCTAGCACGTTTGTGCGTTGTGTCTAGTTTTACTGCAGTTCCTACAGCGCTGAACAGTTGACTAAGCTCCTAGTTGACCACCTCCACCCTAAGTCTTCTTAGATGGCTGAGCTGCTACACACGCCTCAGCAGCTACCCGCGATGCTGCTGGGCCATACTCAAGTGTGCCACCATGCTGAATCTGCTTTCTCTTACGCGATTTTCTCTTAGTTATTACTGCTAATTGCTCTTCAAGCTCTCACACGTGGGCCTTAATAAGGACGTTTTTGTGCAGCATCTCTTTAGCCCCTTTTATAAGCTTTAAGAACCCCTCTTGCGCTGCACTTAGTAATTGTTAGAAGGAGTTGCTTACAAGCTTAGATTAAGACCTAAACTTGTGTGTATTACTTAGCGTCTTAGATTGCCACAGTATTTTAGGTAGAGGTACTACTAGTAGGGTATGCAGCTGCACTTTAAGGTAATCTAACACTACCTGCGTGTTAGTAGGAACAAGCCCTAATACCTTAAAGGCCTTTTAGTAGTTAACCTTTGTAAACACATTAAGGAACACGTCCCTAAAGGCTAGTAGGAAGCCTTCCTTATTAATGTAGAAGACATGTTAGTGTGCTAAGTCTTAAACACGTTAGGAGTACTTACGCTTTAATAGTAAGAAACAGACTATGTTAAGTAGCTAGAGGATGTGTAACAAGTAAGGTGGCATATAGAGAGTAAGGATTTAGTTCTCTAGGCAATAGTCCTTAAACTCCTAGTTAAGATAGCTCTTATAGCTGTCTAAGATAAGCAGCCTGTACACTCCCACCTAACGCGTCTTTATATGCGTGTTAAAGTGCTTTAACTACTTAAGGCTAAGCGTGTTGTTTGTCTAACTGTTCTTAGAGACTAAGAGCTTCTAATCGTGGGGTATATCTATCTCCTCATACTAGGCAGAGATGTGGACGCGTCCTTTGTAGATGATGAAAGGCGGGGTTGCATACCCAGCGGCGCAGATGCTCTGGATAACGGTAACCCACTCGCGATCACCTGGCTGAACAAGCTCTGGCTGAGCACGTCTCTCTAAGCCTGTTACAACCTTTGAAGACAAAGCAACGCCCATCTAGAACCTAGTTTTATTAAAGTTGTGCACGTTGTTGTTGCAAACACTATACTTAACTTAAGTATCCTCCACTAGCTTAAACTACGCGCTAATTATCTCAGGATCTTCCTGTAGTATCCTCTGTCTATCCTTAGCTTGATTGAAGGCCATTTTGAGCTCGTCTGAACGTGTCACAAGCCTGCTAGCCCATAGTTTGCCAACAGGCTCTTCACCACGCACACTAAGTATCTTATCAGCCATATCTGCCACCTTACATAGCTGGGGCGCAAATCCTCGCGAATCAAGGTTAAGTATATACCAGATAATTGTCTGCTCCTCTAGTATAGTAAGTTTCTAGCAATTAGCG